CTGCCTCCTGCATGCCCCGTACGGGGGATCAAGCCTGCAACCCGGGCACGTCTCCTTGACTGGAATTGAACCCAGGACCCTTCAGTCTGCAGGCTGACACTCTGTCCATTGAGCCAAACTGGCTAGGGCAGCAGTTGTCAACTGGTGGTCCGTGAGGTCCGAAAGGTTGGCAACCGCTGGGCTAGGGCATCTCAGTTTTTTGTATTAGTTTGAATTAGGATCCAAATAAGGCCCACACAGTGCAATTAGTTGGTGTCTTCTTTTTTTAAAAAAGGTAGTCTTTTTTTTATTCCAATTTTTAAAAATTTTTTTTAAATTATATTTTATTGATTTTATACAGAGAGGAGGGGAGAGGGATAGAGAGTTAGATGAGAGAGAAACATCGATCAGCTGCCTCTTGCAACAGAGCCAAACCAGTCAGGGCCAATTTTTTTAATTTTAATTTTTAATTGATTTTAGAGAGGGAGCGATACATCAATATAGCCATGAGTTATCTCCCCTATGAGCCCAGTATGTGCCCTGACCGGAAATCAAACCTGAGACCTTCTAGTCCATGGACAACACTCCAACCAGCAGCCTCACCGGCCAGGGCAGTTGGTGTCTTTTAGATCTCTGCTGGTGGATAGGCTTCCCTTTCACCTTTCCCCCTGTGCACTTTGTTGAAGAAACTGGCTTGACAGTCCCTGGGGTTGGCTTGTGTCTCCTCGTCACCTCCATGGCATCGTCCAACGTATCCCTCTGCCCTGTTTCCTATAGATTGGTAGTTGGGTCCAGAGCTGCATTGTGTGGCAACACGTATTTCAAGTGTTCTGGAGCCAAGTGGCTACTGTGTTGGAAAGGACAGCACAAAGATAGGATGTTCGTGACCACAGAAAGTTCTGGCTGTGATAGCGCTGCTGCTCCAGGTGTGGCCTGTCCATCAGTTAGTTTCAGGTGGGGGTGATTTTGGCCGACCATTTCTCAGGTATTGTGTGCTGCGAATTTTGGCCAGGGGCCCTTCCTGGGTTTTGTGTACTGTCTTGTGCATGTTTTGTATCTGGGTCTAGGCTAGGAACAGGGACTCAGTTGGTTTGCTGATTAAAATTTGGGGGGCATTAGGATCATCTGTTGGCTGGGAGCACTCATGACCTCACCCTTCCCTGCCTGTACCCCTAAATGACAGGAGAGTGTGGGGGAGGCTCAGCCCCTGTTGTCTGCACAGGATGTGTGTGAGGTAAGGTGAGAAACTCCTGGACTTGGTCTGGCCTGGTGTGTGTGTGTGTGTGTGTGTGTGTGTGTGTAAGTAAAACATGTTAGACTGCAGGTGCCCCATGCGATGCTGCCTTAAGGGCTGGCTCAGCAACAGAGGGTTCCTTCCATGAGCCCTGGGCATGACTGCTGTGGGCCAGCCCTGTGCCAGGGGTCTTCAGGACCCACCTTTTTGAGACTCAGTTATGAGGGAGCCGTTGTTAAACCATAGACAGATAACGGGGGGGGGGCACTTTGGAGGGTCTGCCTACAAGGTCCCCCAGTGTAAGTGACATTGAAGTCAAGACTCACAGAAATCATGCAGGGGCTGGTGAGAGTATCCCACACAGATGGGGGACAGCCTGGCAGAGTGTCAGACGGAGAGGTGGGAGGTGGGGCCTTTATTGAGAGAGCAGGTAGGGGCGGCATTGAAGGATCTAGGAGGAAAGTGGCATGGTTGGCATCTTCTAGAAAGAACACTGGCTGCTGTGTGGAGATAGCATGTACTAGGACAGTGGTCGGCAAACTCATCAGTCAACAGAGCCAAATATCAACAGTACAACGATGGAAATTTCTTTTGAGAGCCAAATTTTTTAAACTTAAACTATATAGGTAGGTACATTGTTATTAACTTAATTAGGGGACTCCTAAGGCTTAGGAAGAGCCACACTCAAGGGGCCAAAGAGCCGCACGTGGCTCACGAGCCGCAGTTTGCCGACCACGGCCCTAGGAGGATCCGTGTGTCCTGCACACTCTGCTGGTCTCACCCTCACATTGCCTGAGCTGCACATGACAGTTGGCACTTGGGAATTCAGACTATAAATGTGTGTGTAATGTTAGTTTCCTGATGACACAGAATGCAGATTTGCCAAAACTGTGGACAGGAGGGCACACACCTCCTATACGTGGTCCCCTGAATGGGGACCAGGATGGAGAAAATGTTCAAGTCATCTATTTGATGAGGGACCTGTAGCCAGAATATATAAAAAACCCTTGTAACGCAATGCAAAAAAAGACAAATGACCCGATTAAAAAATGGGAAAACAGACATATCTCTAAAAAAGATATACAAGTGACCAATCAGCACATTAATAGATGCTCAGTGTTTAGCTTTCAGGGAAATGCAAATCAAACCCCAGTGCTAACATCCCTTGGGATGACTAACACCAAAAAGGCAGACAGTAACAAGTATTGATGAGGATGTGGAGAAATTGGAAACTTCCTCCACTGTTGGTGGGGATGTAGAATGGGGCAGTCCTTTGGAAGAGAGTTGGGCAGTTCCTCAGGAGAGTAAACATAGAGGTACCATAGGATCTAGCAATTTTGCTTCCAGGTATCTATCCACGAGGAATGAAATGTATGTCCACACAATAACTAGTATGGGACTCGAACCTGAGGCCTTCCAGTCTACCTCCCAGTGTGGCTCAGTTGGTTGGGTGTTGTTCCATGCACCCAAAGGTTTCTGGTTCAATTCCCTCTCAGGGCACATGCCCCGGTAAGGGGTGTGCAGGAGGCAGCTGATCAGTGTTATGCTCTCGCACATTGATGTTTCTCTTTCTCTCTTCTCCCTTCCTCTCTTTCTACAAATCAATTCTTTTTTAAAAAAACAAACAAACAAACAAACAAACGTGTGTACAAGCGTTCATAGCAACATTATTCTTAGTAGCCAAAGGGAAACAACTCAAGTGTCCCCTGAATGAGGGTGGGGCAATTATGGTCGAGTGTGGTGATGAAAATGTTCTAGAAGTAGCCCTAATTGGTTTGGCTTAGTGGATAGATTGTCGGTCTGCAGACTGAAGGGTCTCAGTTGCTGATGGTCCCAATAATTGTAACTGTTGCCAGAGTGGCCTCTTCCACCTGTTCCTCTCCATGGTCTCAGAGCTCATTACTGTATCCTAACCACTAGCCACCAGGAGATGGTTCCCTAGGACCTTCCCTGCTGCAAAGCAGAACTCAAAAGCCTGAGTAGAAGTGCCCCTGAGCTGGTGCATATATGCCCATGACTTTGTTGCTCAGACCAAATGCCACAGTAGATAGAAACACAGATGAGGCTGAGCAGGCAGACTCCTACACACCCCTCAGCACCCAGCCTGGGAGACCACATCCAGAAGCCTGGTCTGGCCCTGGAAGCGCCTTCAACGCAGAGCCACACAGCTGGTGGGATTCGTCATGCCTAGGCCTAGCACATTCCACTTGTGTTTTTATCTCAGTTTTAAGCCTTTGTTTTTGGTGCATTTAGGTGAGGATATGTAAAACAGTGAAGTTACGAGGCATGAATAGAGTGCTGTGAACTCTCTTGAGCACTTTGGTCTTGATGTGGAATCCACACGCATATAAGCTGCTCAGTGTCCCCCGGCACATCCGCTCTGCTGCAACCTCAGCTGTCACGTGCACACCCTGTGATTTCACTGGGGGAGCTAGCCTGTTATGCAGGTGCTTTAAGGGGACTCAGTTTCCTTTTCCCAGTTCTCTGCAGGCTTGGCCTGCAGCCCATGCCTCCACCCGCCTCCCCCAAGGCCAGGGCATCTCCTGGTAGACTTCCTATTAGGACCTCTTTGTCCTCTCTTCAAAGGCCATGCCTGGGGGCCACTGTCATGTGACAACTGGCTGGGCTACTTGGTACTGCCAGATGTGGTCCCACCCTCGGCCCCTCTCAGCTGCCCCTGTGCCGGTTGGGTAGGGACTGTGGGGAGAGACCCTGGCTGGGTTCGGTTTCCAGTGAAGAAGCCATTTTGGATGGCGAGGCACATTTTCCTTTCTGGAACGTTGTGTGGTGGCAGTGCCGCAGCGAGGACCCAGTGGGCCCAGCCTGCTGAGCACTCTGGAATGAAAACATCCCGTTTCCCCTGCCACTGTCTGGGGTGGTGCGGTGTCTGGGCCCTCGGCACACGGGGCCTGGCCCTGCCTGCTGGGTGTCTGCGCCTCCAGCTGGCCAAGGCGGCAGAGGCGCTGCCAAGTGAAAGGAGCTGGAAAATGCAGCTCATGTCCTTTTTCCCCGGAACACCTCGTTCTCTATGGTTTGGCAGCCGTCTCCGTCAAGGGGCCCAGTGATGCCCAGCTGCTGATGTCAGGGAGGAGACTGCATTTGGGGGCCAAGGTGGGCGGAGCCCTTCCTCTTGCTGAGGAGCCTGTGGGCCCGGGCCTGACACAGTGTAGTGCTCCCAAGTTTAGCAGCCCCCCTGCCCGGTAGGCATGGCGCCCGCTCCTGTATCCGGGCCACTCGGGAAGGGGCTTTGTACCAAGGCAGAGCAGAGCCAGCTTTTCCTTCTCGTCGAGATGGAGAATGAGGGCCAGGCTCAGGGCAGGGCTAACGGCACTGGAGGCTCCGGGGTCCCGCACCTCCAAACAGCTCTGTAGCCCTGGCCTCAGGCTGCATCGTGCCATTGGCAGTGCCCAGTAGCTGAGCGGGTGGTGGGATTGCCGGCCATGCTGGACTGATGCTTCTGCCCCTGTGCTGGCCCCCTGGCCAGGTTGGGAGAGCCTGCTGCCTTCTTCATTCTTCAGATTCTGAATAAATGATGGTGGGGTGCGGATGGTGGCTTCCCTGAGCCTCAGCATTCTCTGTAAAGGGGTGGTGCCCCCCCTGCTCGGGCTGGCTGTGACAGGCCAGCGTGAGAGGGACATACCAGTTGAGTGCAGTGCCTGGGGGGCACCCAGGTGCTGGTTCTTTTCCTCTCAACTTGGAAGGGGGTCCCCAACTCCCTAGCTGCAAGTGGAAGGGTGAGCTGAGCCCCTCTCCTGGGCCGACCCCCTCTTTCCCAGCCCCTGGCCCCCACCCTGGTCTTTTAGTACCCTGACAGTGGCTGATCTCCAAATGCACCTCCCCAGGGCTGGGCTGTGTGGAGGACACCCCACAGCTTCATCTGCCCGTGGTCCCAAGGGGATCCTAGCCAGTCGGTGTTACTGTACCAGACACCCATGGCTCATCCTGGTGACAACTTAGTAATAGGATGGCAAAGCTCCTTGAGGGAGCCCCACAGAGCACCCTGTGGAATGGGCACCGCCCGCTGTTCCGTGCCCTGGGGCTGAGAGGCTGTGGCGGGCTCTCACGCTGGCCT